ATATGTATGAAAACATTAATCTTTTTTTAATATATATATTTTATTGATTTTGTACAGAGAGGAAGGGAGAGAGACAGAGAGTTAGAAACATCGATGAGAGAGAGTCATCGATCAGCTGCCTCTTGCACACCCCCTACTGGGGATATGCCCGCAACCAAGGTACATGCCCTTGACTGGAATCGAACCCGGGACCATTCAGTCCCCAAGCCAACGCTCTATCCATTGAGCCAAACCGGTCTCGGCGAAAACATTAATCTTCATACGTTAGTGGAGTAGGTACTAGTAGTATATTCATTTACAGATGAGGAAACTGAGAAGTTAACCAATTTCGCCAAGGTCACATAGCCATCAAGAGGTTGTTCAGGCCAAAACTTTATTGCTAGCAGATACATGGGCCTTACAGTTAGTTTCGGCAATGAAACGAGAGCATAAGTGACATGTGCTACTGCAGGGAAAGTCCATTCACGATCCTTCAGTCCCACACTTCCTGCAGTAATGACTAAGAAGGTTGTGTGAACCAGATGGCTTAGCTACATGGTGATAATCAGCCCTGAAACTGAGTGTGGTTTGGAGCAGAACACCCATTCCTCCCAGTGGAACCATGCTGGGCATGCAGCACAAGCAAGAGATAACCTTTCTTGGGTTAAGCCACAGAAATGTCAGGGGTACTTTGTTGCTTAGCATAACCTCACCTACTCTTACTAATATGTCCCAATACCTACCCAACATGATTAAATCTCTTAATATTGGTTAATTTCTCACATTAGAGTAGGGCTTTATTTACATTCTTACCTTTCAGCTTTAATTCTTAAACATCTGCTTGACTTTTAAGATAGGAGATGATGTTAATTAGATATAAGCAATGGGTAACACTGCTTATATAACAGCTCATTTCTGCTTATCTTATGTCATTGCTCATTTAGAGCCACTATCAGGCCACATTGACTAAAGTAACTGGTTTTAAAAAAATGCACAAAAACAGTAAACTGCTGGTTTAGAGACTTGATGCTTAGTCTAACTCCTATGGCTACTGCCTGGGTCAAATAACTTAACTTTTGGAACTTCTCTTTCATTATCTACAAAATCATGGGATTCAACTAGATGATCCTTACATGTATTTTAGCTGTGATACGTTTCAGGAGACATTTAGTCAAATACTCAATGTCCAGTTGTGGGGGGCACACTGCCATTTGAGATAGGTAGTTCAGAATTTAATTTGCCTGAATTTTTTTGGATGAGTTGTTTGAACCTTCTGGTTACTATGCAAAGTCAAGTCCAGATCCTGTTCTAGAATAGACATGTTGAGGCTATAGAAAGCTAAACTTCTCTGCATAATCATGTAAAAATGTGCTTTTTTTTTATGTTGCAGGGGGGATGTCAAGCAAAGTTGTATAAGGAGGTGGGATAATTAAGGAAGTAATAGGGAACTTGCAAGAAGACGAATTAAAAGAAACGAAAGTTGTTCACCTGGGTAAGCCCGATAGGTGGGCTGCCCCCAAATGTTGGTGGTAGGAGGGAAAGCCAGAGGGAATCTCTGAGGAGTTGTGAAATCCTCCAGTCCTTGCTATTCAAAGCGTGACCCATGGACCAACAGCAGGAGGCCTGCCAGGGCGCTTTGTGAGAAATGCAACTTCTCAAACCCCACCCAAGATCCAGTGAATTAGAACCAGCTTTTCAAAAGGCTCCCCAGGTGATTCAAGTGCACCTCTGAGAAGCAGGAATTATCTCCTTTATGCTATACACATCCCCGATGGTCCAGTAGAATTTTAGTAAATCTTATTGCCAGGCCTGCCATCTGTCACGTGGAAATTAAGGGTCAGTGTTCAAGCTTGGAGAGGAGTCAGTGGAGACGCGGAGAAGCAGTTAGGAGTTGGTAAGAGGTGTCAAGCGTGGAGCATCAGGAGTGAGTTGGCAGTGACCACTAGACTGGATTGTGGAACATGTGAGTTTCCTAGACATTCATGGGAACACCCACTTGGGGAACCCTGTTAAAGATCGTTACTTTCTGCAGAGGGTGGGGTGGAGGTTTGGGCTTGATACTAAGGGCAAGCATGACCTCTGCAGGTAGGAGGATGTAGGGTACCTGGGTAACAGCACTCACTCTAAAGTTGCCTGAAAGTTTACTGTCATTGCCAGAGATGTTTAACTTTTAAAGCTGAAGCACAGGGAACGTTTTGCTTTGTAATACTGAATACGTTTAATAATTGTTCCTGTTTGACATGCAGACATTTTAGTGCCTCATCATTCATTATCCCTGGTGAACCAATATCCTTTGTTCATCCTGGCGGGGAAAAGTAAAGGTGATTTTTAACAAGTATGACCTTTTTGTTTATTTTTTAATTTTTAACAAAAATGAAACATTTGTTAAGTCTGATTCTTGCTGATTTATATAAAGGTCTCCATAGGTTGTCTGTCTGTTTGTTTTAGCATTTTAAAAAAGTTATTTTTGTAACTAGGACTCATGTAATATCTATATGTGGTCCTATTTGAATACAAAGGGTACTATAGAGTTCCCCAACCATCAACAAAATAACTAAGTTTTTAAAGAAACTGGCCTCAGTAACAATGACAAGTGGCTTGAGAGGCCACTTTGATCTTACAAGAACCAAGAAAGGAAAGTAACTTCAGGAAATATACTGAGAGCAGTTGTTGTAGCAAATAGACAGGTTCCTAATTTTTTTGATAAATTAGCCCCAGTCTTTACATATACTGATTTAATTATTCATTTCAGCTACAATATTTATAGCTGGGAAGCTTAACGGTTTTTAAATCCTGGTTCTAGAGTCAGGCTACTGAAGTGGGAGTCATGGCTCTAAGATTTACTAGCTGTGTAACCTTGGGCAAGTTACTTACCCTCTCTGTGCCTCAGTTTCCTCAACTCAGGGTGATAGGAGCCTTCCTCAAGTGGTTTTCTTTTAAAAGAATTAAATCCCTACAAGTAAAATGTAGGGAGCGACTATGGGGTTATGCCTCAGACTGAGCTGTGGCAGGGCCACAAACAAGTCCAAGCTTGGAGGGCAGAGCCCTTTTAGAATAATTAAGCTTGACCTTTTAGCCCTCCCTAGCTCCTTCCTAGGTAGTTAATGGGCTGCCGGAGGTGCAGCAAGTGCTGCCAAAACAAGGTGAAACTCACAAGAACACTGTAAACATGTTGACCACTATCCTTGTTTTGATCTCACTATCAAATAAAGCCTGAGCTTGCAGGCGGGATCTTTCTGTGTCCTCATCCAGGCATGGGAGATTTGCCGAGCCCCAGCTGTATTCTCTTGTCTGCGTGGCTGTAGTCCTTCACCACCCTTCCTCAGGTTCACCGAACCCTTTGGCTGTGCTGGCCGCCACAGTAAAAGGCTCAGTGCCTCGCATAGAGCACTTGCTCAAATATTGGAGCTATTGTTCTTGGCCATGGCAGGGGCAACCAAGGTATATAGAAGTGAGGCTAATTAGGAAAAACATACATTTTAGATATTCTTTCTTGGCCCTAAAAGCTAAAATACTTACAGATTCTCCTTTTTGGCCTTTAGGGCCAACAGACCCTGGAAATCCTGGTTGTCCAGTTTCTCCCTTTCAAAAAGAGAACAGAAGAGAGATTTTGCATGAGGTCAGATGAGATGAGTACTGTTGTGACAATCAGAGTCAGACTAATTGCTTGAGCTGCTTCTAACCTATTATCTTCCCAAGAGACAATGACAAGTTCTGAATGGAGTTAGGCTACTTGCATAGTAATGTGTTTGTCAGCCCTTCACAATGCCTTTAGGTCTTTTAGATATCCGTGAGATTCAGTATATTTAAAATTAATCTGAAACAAAATTATTTTTCAAGAAAAGAACATCTAGAGGAGAAAAAATTATAATTTTTCCCTGCTGTACCAAAATTTTTGTGTGTGATCTTACAGACATCAGATTGTTTAACTGACACAATAATCCGGACTTATTTTATTTCAGACACGTCTTTCTTTTTTTAGCTGGGGGGAGATGGAGGAGTGGAGATACAGGAAGACAATGAGTCTCTCAGCTGTTTTCAGAATTTACATTGCAGCTTAAATGATTGGCTATGGACAAAGAAGACATTCTTGTCAATGTAGTGACAGCATCAGCTTAGAAATGTCTAAGGATGTCTTAGATCTTGAAGAGGAATTTGTATGCAACATATAATTGAAAAAAAATACAACTTTAGAAATAATACTTGTGGAGAGGAAATTATCTCACTAATCAGATTTCAGAGGAATCTTCAGCACTGTGCTACTTTTTAATGTTTACCAAAATCCTTGACTATGGCATACTTGTATATCCCATAAACATAGCCGCTAGAAGTTATATAATTTTTTTCCCCTTAACCTCAAGATCATTTTTGCAAAATGATGTTTCTAGGCTTATACTTTTCTCACCTGTCTTGTCTATTTTTTTTTTTTATTAAAAACATAAAGTTGAATTATGTCAAACCTCCAAGACCCAGGCCTCCAAAATTTAAAAAAAGAATTAGAATTAGAAGGTATCTCCTATATTTCCCTCTCCATTTCTGTCCCAGGGAGAGTCACACTCTTGAATTTAGCACTCATATTTTTAGTCCATATGTTTGTACTTTACTACATACATGAAATCATAAACAATATATTATTCTGAATATTTAAAACAAATTCCATAAATAGCTTAATCTTATATATAACATTCTGTGACTTGTTTTTTTCACTAAACATTGTTTTTAATATTCATTTCTATTGATACATATAGGACTAGTTCCTTCATTATAAGTGTTGAATTATGTAACGTTATATAACTATCCTATATAAAGAAGCCTAATATGCTAAATGTCTAGTCCTCTGGTCAGCCGTTCAACCAATCAAATCGTAATATGCTAGTGATATGCTAAGGTGGTTCAAATGCTCACTATGACATGCACTGACCACCAGAGGGAAGATGCTCCAACTGGTAGGTTAGCTTGCTGCTGGGGTCCAGCAATCAGGACTGAACAAGACTGGCCGGACATGCCCTGTAGCCCTCCTGTGGTCCCTCTCGCCCTGATCATGCACTGGTGGTATCCTTTGGTTTGGCCTGTGCCCTCTCGCAATTCGGGACCTATGGGGGATATCAGAGAGCCGGTTTAAGCCCAATCCCGCAGGCCAGGCCAAAAGACCTCACAAATGCATGAATTCGTGTACTGGGCCTCTAGTAGCATTATATAATGCTAATGTAGAGCTTAGCCATATTCTATTTATGGGCCCCTGGGTTGTCCCTAGCTTTTCTTCATTATAAACAAGGCTTCAATGAACATCTCAACATGTGTACCCTTGTATGGACATATTTGTTTGTTTATTTTTGAAGCCTCAAACAATAGTCTACCCAAAATACTTCAAGTACAAACTGATTATAGTCCTGTAATAAGTGTTGGCTTAATTCTAGATTCCTATCCAAATCAGTGTCTTATGATTTTAGATTAGAGGAAGAGGGAGCTTGTCATTTGTAATCAGTAGACAGGATCATGTTTTTAATTGAGTTTCCTAGATTTTTGGAATATATCTCATAAATTTAATCTTGATTTTATTAATATAATTATTTTTCATTTCTAGTATCTAAGTATCTAATATGCCACCAATCTTATACAGGCAAGGAGAAGGCATTTTCCCCTTAGAGAAAATATCTTCTACTCAAAGTAAAACGAGGGAGAAATTGTTAGATACATTTCAGGGACCAATTGGTGTTGGTTTTAAAGAGGCAATAAAAAGTTGTCCTATTATGAGCACAGTGTGACCATCCTATTAACTATCTGGTAGGTGCTAAAATCCCCATTGCACACTAGTGAAGGAAAATATTCCCAGTAGTTAGACTGATCTGCAAAAAATTAAAGTAGAATTCAGGAAGGGGTCTAGAAATGACTATAAAATTCACATCTGCACAATATCAAAAGGGAAGTGGGGATGAACATGGAGAAAGAGTAATTATATTCATAGCTCATATTCACTGAACTGATGTAAATAGGTCTCCTTTGGAATGTAGATGAAGGGCCCAACAGAGACTTTGATCCATCTCTCTGTGTGGTACACTGATGTGGTTGGGTTTAGAAAAAGATGGCAGGAACCAATTCCCTCATATAAAATCCTGGAAACAAAAGTATTTCAGACCCGAATCTTAGACACATGTGGAGTGCTTTTTCACATTTGCTCAGTGATTTGTCACTGTGGATATGAGTTGAAAGGCAAGTGATGAATTTATTTAGCTTCAGAAAAGGCTGCCCCTGGACACTTTTAGAGCTATTTTTAAATGTGGTGCTTTTGTGGCTTTATCTTTTCTCTCTGACAGTGGGCCCCCCAAAACCTCTGCCAATTTCTCAGAAGTATTTAAATATTCACCACCTTATCCCACTGTCTCTGTAAAAAAGCAGTTCTTCTTAATCACCTTACAAACACATTATTCCTTCTCCACATTTAGTTAGTTGCAGTCAAGTTCCAGAACAGAGATCACCATTTCAATACTGGTAGATATGTAACATGAGGGCCACTGATGGCTACCAGTATGTCTTCATATTCCTTCCTGTCACTTGGTACAGGATGTGGCTGCTAAACCAGGAGTGACCCATGTATAGATTCCCTGGCTGTGTCTGTTCTAGTGCATCTGGGTAGGGTTACAAATTTGGCTGGTTTTGTGATTCTGTTTTGCCCATCAGCATATTGAGAAGTGATAATTCATTTAGGTGCTGAAATTGTACTTCTCGTTAAGTCTTTTATTCTACAACATAAATGCTGTCCCTTCTCTGTCAAAATGACGGTGGAAGATGAAACGATGAGCAAGACCATGTGTTAAGGATGGTAATGCCTAGTAACACCAAAAAGAAATATATGAGACCTCTGAGAAGAGAGAAAGTCTGGAGTGGATGAACAGAAAGGAACACGTCTTTAGTGGGGGTTTAACATGGGTCAGGTGTTATGCTTTCAGGTAAGCACATATCACTGCATTTATTTTTAATCTTGACATCAACTTTGTTTAGATACCATTATGCCCATTTTTTACACGAGGAAACTGACACTCAAATAAATAAAGTGAATTTCCCAAGGAGACACAGCTATTATTAGCACAATCAACTTTTGCCCAAAGACCATGCTCTTTCCACCACTCACTGGTTTTCAACCTGGCTGCCAGTTAGAATCATGGGCAGTATTTTTAAGTGACAGTGATATGTAACCCACCCCAGATCAACCAGAGGTGTGCCCCAAATCAGAGTCTCTCATGATGGAAACTGAACAATGGTATTTTCTAAAACCCTCCAGGTGATCCCAGGGTGCAGCCAGGGTTTGGAACCACTGTAGTCCACCGCAGGTGCAAGCAAATCTGTGGAGCAGATTGCAGGAGCTTTAAATTCTCACTACAGTGACCCTTGAACTGAACTATAATTTAAAAAACCAATGTATTGGTTCAGAACAGCAGCCTGGGTAAGGGAGGGGTGATTTCACCCCTCTAGCAAATGCTATGCTTAACATTTTTTAGTTTATTTTATGGATTATTTATTGGCAGTCTTTCTCCTGTTAATTAAAATTCTTACAAATCATTTTCTATGCACATTTACATCAGGTTTTACATCAGGTTCCCTGCAGACTCTTCGAGAGGTTATTTCTTTGAGTGGGAGGAGGGGACAGACATGCCACTGGCTTTTGTAATTCCATTGAAGACTCTGAAGCAATTAAAAATATTTGAGCAATAGAAAAGCTCCTTAGAGCTTGAAATACACCTGTTTCACAGAATCAAATTTCTCATCATTGAGGTCTTAAGAATTTCCAAGTAACATATGTTTCCTAATGAACATAGCAGAACAGAAGCCAGCTGTTTTGTTTCGAGAAATGAATCATCATTTAAATACTTTAAAAGTGCCACAGCTCCCTTCTTTGCTCAGCTGTCCTATGTGACAAGCTCTGTGGCTTTATTTTGCCCCCCCCCCCACCCCCTTAGCTTGCAGGTGTCCAGTAGTAATTGCTTCAAATGTAATGTGTTCTTTACGGAGGCATAGGAATTCTGTAAGCTATTTGGTTACAGGAAATAGTGCTAATGTACTAGCAGTACAATCCAAGATGCACAAATGGCTTGTTATTGCTGTAAAATAAATATTTTGGCTGTCTTTTGAGGAATGTCAAGGTTTTATTTATTTATTTTTTTGCAGAAAATTTCATTTTCAATGGCCAGTCTCTAAAAAGCCCTGACTTCCTGTGGAAACTATCTTTTAGCAGTATTTTTTGGTGATGGATGTATGATCTTGTGACTAGATTGGCTGCACTGATTTATAAGGCAAGGAAGTCATATTTCCTTGGATTTCATGTCGAAATACCCTGCCCTCAATCAAGAGGATTTTTACTGGGTGAATGAATGAAGGTAGCACTCACAGGCCACATTCCCTCAAAGTATTTTCAAACCCACTCATCTCTGTCTGTAGATTTAATGTGTACTGTGCCCCCCGCCCCCCGACAATGGCACATTCACACGAATCCAAGGTCATCACAATTTCTGAATCAAATGGGAGTGAAGCATCTTCCTGAGCGGGCAAGCGGATCTGTCATCTTCACAGCTAACACAATTAAGCCTGTGAATGATGATGATGAGAATGCTTCGGACACTCATCAGCAGTTTAATTTTAAAACTGTTTTGAAAGAATTATTTGGTTAAACCATGACTGTACATTATAAAACCACCAAAAAGATGCTCCCACAATGGGCTATATTTGGATACTTAAGGAGACACAAAAAGAGTGGGCCTGAGCCTGAGGCATCTTGCTAAATGTTTTGTCATCTACATGGACACATGTAGCACCTAATTATAAACGGAGGCTTGTGCCCTAACTTCATGTACCCTGTTACAGGCATTTCCCCTTCATGTGTTCCCTTCCTTGTAGCAACTGCCGCTGGGCCGTCTTCACAGAGGAGCTGATTTCAATCTGCTTCCCCACGCAGGAGGAGGGCAGAGGCTGCACCTGACAGACCTGACCGCCCCTGGACGGAACCCCTGTAGCAGCGGCCCCCCCCCCCCCCCCGCCTCCGATATGTGAACGTGCGACTGTCTGAAACCCCAGATGTTTTTATTCATTTTGAAAATCTGACTACCTTCTCTCCTTTTGGGCCACCAGCTCCATGTTCACCAAAGTTTCCCTAGGTAAACACAAAACAAAAAACACACAACATTTATCTTTTAACACATTCAATCTCTACTTTAAAAATATAAATAGATAATAGTACTGTAACAGTTCCCAAGGGTACCATTTTAATCACTTTTGCCTGTCTCACCTTCCATTAACTATTCCTGCAAAATTCCAACTTTGGGTACACTCTCTATCTTCTCTGGGATGTCCCCCTTGGGGGTGACTCTGGAGAAATATCATACTTCCAGGGGAAAACTGTTCCTACTCCAAAGTAATGCCTGGGAACCTCACCATTCCATGGCTATGACTCTCTAATGTTAATTATGATATTTTTGTTGATTAGTATGATGGACATTGTGTTAATTGGCCTCTTGGCTGTACTTGCCACTCTCTTGACTTGTAGATTCCTCACCCTCTTTTTCTTACTATCTCTCTGATGCCCCCTCCTCTTTCCCCACCTAATTGGCAAAGGCTGCACCTCTTCTAGGCTCTTCCCTCCTGTAATATAACATTTTCTCCGAGGCCTTCTTATCTGCCCCCATGGTTTAGGTGTCATCTACCATACACAGAGAAAATTGTAACCCTGCAAACAAGGTCTCTTTTCTGAGTTTTGACATATATATGTGTGTGTGTGTGTGTGTGTGTGTGTGTGTATGTGTGTGTGTGTGTATATATATATATATTTTTTTTTTCTATTTGTTGTATTCACTTGCAAAATCTAAAAGAAATTCATACTCAACAAGTTCAAAACTGAATTTAAAAATATAAGCCCTGGCTGACATGCTAAGTGGTTAGAGCACTGGCTCATGCATTGAAGGGTCATGGGTTCAATTCCTGGGCACGGGCATGGACTGGGTAGCCAGTTTGAACCCCAGCCCTGGTGCAGGAGGCAACTGATATATGTCAATGTTTCTCCCCCTTTCCCCTAAAAATCAATGGGAAAATTATCCTTGGGTGAGGATTAACAACAACAACAACAAAAATACAACAAACACACACATACATATATAAGAGAGAAAGATGTAAGAATTATATCATCCTGTTAACATTCATTAGTTCAGAAGTATGAGAATGACTAACTTCTTCCTAGTGTAAGTCTTCAGTTTGACTTGTTAAGATGAGTGATTTCATTTTACAATTGAAAAAAAAAAAAAGTCAAGGAAAGAAAAAAATCTGAATTCACCCTCTCCGTTCCATGAATGCTTCCTTCTTCAATCTGCATGTCCTTACCACCACCCTACTTATTCCTCCAGGACAATCAGTCTGATGGCCTTTGTCTCCAAAACCTCTTCTCACGCTACCTGTCTTCACTCTGGGAAGGCCACCATCATGCCTTGCTGGATCACTCAGTAGCTCTCTCGATGGCCCTCTATACTCCACTCTTGCTCCTCTCCTCCCCCCCATCCCACACACACACTCTAAATAAGGTCAGAGTGAGATCTTTAAAAGACATCCTAACTTCATTCTTTTTCAACTTTAACAAAGCCATCAAAACCCAGCATGAATTGAACTCGTTTTCATCTTCAGCATCATCTTGGCCAGAAGCTCCAGCTATAATGGCCTTCTCTCCACTTCTTAAATGACCAAGATCCTTCCCATTTCACCCTCTAAATCCTTCTCCCCAACAACCTAGAGGAGTTAAAGATGCTATGACTGGAATGAAGAAATGCCTCTTCAGTACTAAGTCAAATTATTTTATCCATATACTCCATTATTCTAAAATTTTGATTTTCCTGGTGGATTTTCCACCCAGAAGAACAATAGGGTCATTTACTTCCTAGCAGAGCACCATATGTTTGCTTCACTCAATAGCTAAACCAGGAAATTTATCTAATCAAGGATCCGCAGAGCCTCTATAAGTGTTTTCCATTCTTGGGCTAACAATACTCAATGCAGATTTAAAATTGAACTTCAGGAGCATTTATTCATTGACATTTAAGATTCTCTTCTCTACTTTCTCAAGATAACTGCACCAGACAATTACTTGGCTCTACAGAAATAATAAAACATATTATTATTATTGTGAAATAATAAGACATTATTACTGTGAAATAATAAGACATATTATTATTGTGTTTCTGGGAACCTACAATTCTGCCTCAGATACTATTCTAATTTTACTAGGTCATTTTTGTACCCTGGTGTCATGTTATTTGAATGCATTATTATAAGCCTTTTGAATAACTATAATAGCTGTATAATTTTGAATGTTTTTATTTAAAAGTTCCTGGTGTAGTGTTAAGGGTTTGGGTTGAAGAGTGCTAATTAGCTGGCCCATTTCAAGAATTCTGGGATGTCCTTTGTTCTTTTGTGCATTGTGGTGAACAGAACTTTGAAATGTATACTCAGGCAAGTGGGAAGACTTTAAGCTATTTCAATGGCCCTGGAGAGGGTATTTTCTAGAAAGAAGGGAACATACCTAGATGTATATAGGTTCAACCATAAGAGATGGCCATTTTATGGGCCCTAAAGATTCAAATATCAGCAGTTTCCTGTGGCTCAATATAATAAAAGAGATCAAGGACATGAACCTTCTTCTAGGATACAGGGTAATTAAAAATCCCCTAGTTTAGCCCTCGGGGAGTTTGCTATAAAATCCTAAACTCGAGGGAACATAACAATACAAAACAACAACAGGTGATCTATCATATTACGGACTGAGTTGTGTTTCTCCCCACAATTCATATGTTGAAGCCTTAACTCCCAATACTTCACAATGTGACCTTATTTAGAAATAAGTTCTTTGCATATGCAATTAATTAATGAAATCATATTAGAGTAAGGTAGACCCCCTGGTTCAATACAACTGGGTCCTCATAAGAACACTCTTTGAACCAGAGACATGCACACAGGGAGAACGCCATGGGAAGGTGGGAGTTATGCTGCCACAAGCCAAGGAATCACCAGGAGCCAGGAGGGAGGCCTGGAACACATGCCTCCCACACCTTCCTAGAGAGCATGGCCATGCTGACACGCTCCATCTTTACTTCTAGCCTCCACGACTGTGAGACACTGAATTTCTGATGTTTAAGCCACTTGTGTTGTAATATTTTGTTACAGTAGTCTTAGCAAGTTAATATATAATATGTAGCCTTGAAAATAAGACCTAAAGCTGGCTTCAAGTCCAACCTCTAAGTTTCCTGCAGGAAGCCATTTCACCAGCTCCAAGTGTGATGGGCCACAGAGGGGAGGGGGAAACCTAGGAAAGCCTCGGGGTTCTCTCTAATAAAACTAAGATCCAAAACTAAGATACATCTGTGCCTCAATTCCCATGTTCTCCAAAGCTACTGGGTCTTACATAGGGAGAGACAGGAAGTTAGGACTTAAATTTTATTTCCCAATCTTTGGGCCCGGAGGGTTGCTTCTGGTGTCTCCAAGGAAGCCTTCACTTCCTGTGCCATTGTTGGGTTCAGCTCACAGCTTGGGAAGACCATGAATATTTGATTTTGGAGAAAGGTTTTCTGTCCTTCCTAGTCTGTGAATATTAAAGGGAAGTTATGACTTGATATGCTAGCAAATCGGTGGATTTTTTTGGATCAGCATTTGGAGAAGTGAACACCAGAATTGGCTGCTGGGGGACACAGCGTCAGTCTCCAACAACTGAGACCGATTTTCTGCACATTTCACCGAGTGTGGTAACGTAAGATAGCACAACCACACATTTTCACTGTGGATCTATAAAAACAGTTTGAAATGTAAAATATGCCAGTCTGTGGCCTCTACAGATAACACTTTATCCCCCATCTACAATGTTGTCAAGGGGCTCTGGATCTGATGGCTTTAGCAGTTGACAGAGCCTATCAAAGTCTGAAAATCCCCAGAGCTGGAGACAATGAAGAGCAGTTTGCTGGTAAGTGAGCAGATTTTCCTTCCAGGGAAGAATATGTTCAGCGTTGCTGCTTCTTTGAAAACAATCTTGCAGGTTGGGAGCAGCTGTTTTGCAAATTATTTTTGTGATGGAGAGGGAAATCTAAATACATTTGGACAATCTCCCCGACCTTAGTCTCTCTCTATTCCTTACTTCCTTTTTGCTTCCCTATTCGCTTTTGGATTTGTGTTGCAGGGAGAGGGTCTTTTAGGTCTGACCTTCTCCCTCTGATGGCTTAAGAAAAAATAAAGGGGGGTGGGGGGAATCAGCACTTGAACAGGACCCAAAGGCGTGTGTGGGTAGCTACTGGTCATCTTCCTGGGGTCGCTGCTTCAACAGGCTGCTCGACCACTGTAGCCTCTTCGAGCTGAGGAGCTTGAGGTTCAGGACTCCAGCACAGAAATATACATAGATCAATGCCAATTCAAAAGGGAAGATTATTTTAACCCTGAAATGTCACTTTTATATATCAATCCATGGTCCATTATTTAATCTCCATGAAAGTTTCATTCTGAACACCCTCCCTCCCCCCAATCATCCTCCCCCTGTGTTCATTTGTTACAGCCAACTATCCGGCTTGCATTGAGTTGCAAAATGAAAGAACCTCAGAATCCAAAAAATACAATAGATCGAGGTTTGGGATGGGGCAGTGGGGTGGAGGGAACACTGCCAATGAAAACATATTTCTCACCCATTATGGCACATCTGGCCCTGTCTTCTGTGAAGCTGAGGGTGAGGAAGGGGTGGCTACCTTTCAGAAACATTGGTCAGTGTAGGTACCGGGATGCTGGGCATCGCCTCTATCAATGTAACAGTTCTAAATCTTTGCAGAAGGAAACCAACTGTAGTGTTTGGGAAGTGGCCTTGCATTAATTCCCAGATGGGTCTAAGCCTCCTGATGCTAAGTGCCTACAATGCATCATTTGGGGAAGAAAAGCCATGGTCTTGCTTTTTTTTAATTTTTATCCAGTGAGGCTTCAACTCTACAGCCATGTTTTGAGCACATGTGGAGTAATTACCTGGGAGCCCCTTTCCTGTAATGGCAATAAGAATAGCTGGAGTTCTCTTAGGTGAATCAATTAGCTAAGTTCAAAGTACTGGCTTGCTATTGGCCGTGGCTGGATAGTTCAGTTGGTTAGAGCCTCACCCTGATACACCAAGGTTGTGTTCTATTCCTGGTCAGTGCACATACAAGAATCAACCAATGGATTCATAAAAAGTAGACCAACAAATCAATGTTTCTCTTTCTCCCTTCCTCTAACCCTGAAAATCAATTAATAACTTTTGTTTTATGTTTTTATTTTAGAGAGAGAGTAAGGGGAGAGAGTGAGAGGAAGAGAGAGAGAGGGAAAGGGAGAGAGGGAGAAGGAAAGGGAGATGGACAGGGGAAGGAAGAAGGAGGGGGGAGAAAAGGAGAGGGAGAGTGAGAGTGAGAGTGAGAGGGAGAGGGAGAGGAAGAGGGAGAGGGGGAGGGAGAAGGAGAGGGAGAGGGAAAGGGGGAGGGAGAGGGGGAGGGAGAGGGAGAGGGAGAAGAAGTCACCTCCATCAAAGACTTAACCCAAAACTGGGCATGTGCCCTGACTGGAACTAAATGAGTGATCTTTTGGTGCACAGGATGATTCTCAACTAACTGAGCCACATCAGCCAGGGCAATAAAAAAAATTTTTTTTAAAGTATTGATTTGCTATCAGCAAAACTTTCTACTCACCTACTCTAGTCAGTCCCATTTTTTGAATTATAACCTTGATGTTTAAAAATTTACATTCTTTAGACTAAAATATAAATGCATCATATATCTTCATTTAAGGAAAAACCGACTCATTGGCAAGATAAAGTATATATACAAGCAGTATTAGGAGGCCTGTAAAGATACGAGCTTTAAAAGTTTTGCAAGGGATAGCAAATATTTAAGTAGCTGAGTCGCAACTTAGTAAATTTTGTACTAAGAATGAAAGTAATATAGTGTGTTCTCCAAGTTTTTCTAGCTGACAGTGTGACATCAGAGCCAACTAATTCTCATTATTTTGAAGCATTTATGATAAATCCTACTTTGTAATAGATGTCCTTACAAAAAAGCATTGTATTTTTATTAATTTTAGACATGATTCATTTACTTTTTTTCACTTGTGCCAAGCCCCAATGTTTTGAAAAAGCTAGTATAGATATATTCAGAAAATGTCTAATTATACCAAAAACTTTATTCCTAATAAAATTCTCCCTGGAAAATCTAAGTAAACGAGAAAATGTAAGATAGGAAGTGTAACAAACTTTCCACACTTTTGAAATTTAGCAACCCCAAATGACCTAGGCTTTTATGTTGAACTTAATCTGATGAACAAAGAATTGGAATTTAAAAAATGAATTAGCTCGTCATTTAATAAACACTTTTCTGAGCACCTGCTATCTTGAAGGCCTCTGCTAGCACATACTGTCTTTTTGGGGTTTGTAAACAAAAAGGAATAGCAGTAGTAAGGAATTTATAGGAAAGCATAAACTAGAGGAGTGAATCTGAATTTGTTTGTGTAGAGGCACAATAACCAGCACTATGTCAATGATGAGCTACTATGTATGAAAGGGACTCTCGTCAGTGGACAGAATGCCTCACAGCAAGGGATTATACCCAAATATTTGTTATTGAATGATGATGAATCAATCAATAGTCTCACACAGGTCTCTCAGTCTTACTTCATTGCCAACACCCATTTTTCTCCCTCTGTTTTGCTTCCTTGAAGAAGAAGAAGCAAAACTGTCTTGCCTTATGCCTCTCAGATACTTCCATGTCAGAATTCCACCCATCCTAACTGGAATTTAAAAACCTTGGGGAAGTTAAAAGTGGCTATTCCTTGAAAGATGGGGGACCCCCTGCTTTGACCTATGGGATATATGTATTTGCTTGACATTGTAGTGTTGCACTTGTTGGTTTTGATAAAAAAATCTATCAGCCATTATGTTACTCAGAGCTTCAAGGTAGCAAATAATCTCTGTCCTCAGAGAAACTGGATATATGCCATTATCAATGGTGAAATATAATTTTTGCATTTATTGTTTGCACGCAAATTTTTAAAATTTGAAGTGAACTTTTTTTAAGTATTAAGAAAATATCCTGGTTTTGAAAAAAAGATACTGAGCAAAATATATATATATTTTTTTGGAAATATTTTTAGCATGGAAAGATGTTAAGAATATGTGACCATGTTTCATGTCTAAGAGTTAGACATGTGTGTTTTGTTTTTCAGAAATACAATCTGAATTAATGTATGTGTTTTGTTTTTCAGAAATACAATCACATAGTCCTGGTTGGCTCAGTTTGTTGGAGCACCATCCTGTACATCAAAAGGTGTGGGTTCAATCCCCTTTGGGGTGCATACAGGAGGCAACCAATAGATGTTTCTCTCTCACATCAGTCCCCCTCCCTTTCTCTCTCTCTAAAAATCAATAAAAACATACCTAGGGTGATGAAAAAAATAATAAAATTTAAGAAATATGATCACATAAAATCTCTTTGTATATAATGTGTGAAAATAAAAGGACATACCTTATTATAATATCCACTAAGATTCTGCTGCATTTCTTGTGGTCCAGGAGGTCCCTGTATTAGAAACAAATAAAAATACAAACCTAAACATTTACCAAACAATGTGAATTTAAATAATATATCTAAGAACTCTTGAAATCTTAGTTAAGGAAAAGGAAGAGTATGTTCAGTCAAATATTCCAATTAATGGAGAATTTATAGGGGCATTAGCTCATCAGGTTCCTAAAGGTATATCAAGGTTAAATCCTGCATGAATTCAAAGAGGTCCTTAATGGGAACATGTAACATTTCACCAGAAGGTCAGCATCAGCATATTTTTATTAAAAGAAATTGTGCCCATAAAACTCTTCAAGGGAAGAGATTTTAGCTTCAGTTTATTTTTGACACTTTTCATAGGGCTTTGATTGATGTGTTACAGAAATGTGTGGCCACTTGTTATTAACTTAGAAAATATGGGAAAATATGTTTTCTATTGCTTTATCCTTTTGAATGGGTTGCACATGACTTTCAAGACAGGAAAAGATGTTTGCTCTAAGACCACAGATTTCAGATATTTAAACATTCATATTTTTCAGTTTACATGGAAACATTTGCTAAGCACTATGGTGGGCTTAGGGAGACAGTAAAGATATAAAGGCATTTCCCCCCTAAAACTTCCAAAAAGAGAGGAAGAGAAAAGTTGTTTTCTTTTTAGTTTTTCAGGGATTAAATTTTTGGGAGAGGGACATAAGATAATACAAAGCTTAGCATTATTTTAAATTAAGTAGTTCAAGCCAACAGAGAGGCCGCTATTTAAAAGAAAAAGATTGCAGTCCAGCGGTGTGGCTCAATGGTTGAGCTTCAACTTATGAACCAGGAGATCATAGTTCAATTTTCTGTCAGGGCACATGCTCAGGTTGGAGACTCAGTCCTCAGTAGGGAGCATGCAGGAGGCAGCCAGTCAATGATTCTCTCTCATCATTGATGTTTCTACCTCTTTCTTCCTCTCTCTGAAATAAATAAAAACATTAAAAAAAGATTGCATATTTCACAGATCTTTAAAATGCCCATGAGAAAATATTATAGAAGCAAAATTATTTACATTTTACCTTAGAAGATAAACAAAGAAAGATTACGATTGAGTAAACCAAACATTACTGTTGAATAAAGATTATTTTTTTTAAAAAGGTATTTACATGCATATAAGTACAACTAATGGACACAAAACTCTGGGGAGGGAGGGTATGTGGGGGGGCAATGTTAAAATATGTACACAGATAATAATTTAATAAATAAATAAATAATTTAAAAAAAAATAAAATCTATTTTGTCTGAAAAAAAAAAGGTATTTATAGCTTTAAAAATGGAGAAAGAATTTAAGCTGCACACATTGATCTAGATACCATGGAAAAAATTAACATTAACATTTGAGACTGGTATTTCTTAGGAAAGACTCGTGACTAATGATCTCTTCCAATATAAAACCTCTGCCTTGTGCCACTAAATGTAGAGGACACAGAGATGTAGTGATGGATGTTGGAAGCAGGTTGGTATAACTCTTAAGAAAATAATAGGCCTCCTGAGTAATGGGGCCGTCTGTGATTGGAAAGACAAATGATGCTGTTACCTTGCTGAAGTAAAAACAAAGCTAATGTCAGAAAAGAACTCTCATTGCATTATATATTGCTCATGTTTGCTTTTTTTCCCTCCCTGCCAGCCAGCTTTGTGTAAAGTACCTAGGTCAGTTAGATGAAGCAATGAGGAAAGCAATCACTGAGTTGGAGATTGCTGCACAGAGGTTCCAGCCAAGAAGATGCAAGTTAAAAACTTGTTCTTGAAACTCATGAGACATGAGATTCATACACATTGATCCACCTGCAATTATATAATGAGGTAAGAAGTTTTAGATGCCACGTGTAGTATCAATATCATTAACAGGTAACTCAGGTAGTAGATGCTTGGTAGATGGTGAATGTGTGTTAATAATGCCAGTTAGAAAAAAGAATAGTGATACAGTGGGTAAATTTTGCTTTATACACATTCAATCTAATTAAAACGAGAGTCTTATAATTAGGGATCCCAAATATGGCAGAACAATTAATAATATAATAGAGTCCTTAAATAAAGCAAAAGAAGCAATCAAATAATAATAGCAAATATATATTGCTTATTGTATGCCAGGTGTTATACCAGGGGCTTTATGTGGATTAATTTATTTAATCCCCACAACAACACTATGAGATACCTAAGATCATTATTTCCAATTCAACAGTACAGAAAATGAGGCTTGAAACTGTTAACTGGCCCAAGGTCACACAGCTGGTAAGTGGCAGGGCTAATGTTGAACATAGGCAGCCAGAGCCCAAACTCTACCATCTTAATTTAAAAGCAGACTCTCAGCCTAAGATAATTTCTTCAGTAATTTCTTTATCATGCTGACTGTGCTGTTGAGAATACTAGGTGATCAGTCTCCCATGTTTTACTTCCCATACTGAAATTGAAAAAAAAAAAATCAACAAAACTGGTACTCAGCACTTCTCATGAGCTAGACTGTGCTTGATACAGGGGGTGGAGGGGAGTAGGAGTGGAGAAAGAAATAAGAACTTTGACTTTAGATGTAGTATCAGCAGATAGCTGTTCACTACATCTCCTATCTATCTGCATATAATCACTCAAGACATGCTAGGAAGATTATGCCTGAATATTACAAAAAATTCCTCTCAATCCACAACTGTACTAAAATGCATCCTATCTTTGTTTGCAGAGGTTAGGAGAGCAGATGGTCAAAGGGTATAAGTGGGCACCTTGAAAGGGGTCCTGGGAGGGAGTAAGGAGAAAGAAGCAGAACAGCAAACAGTGTGAGAGGGGTTTCCTGGTACAGAACAGGTAAATGGATGAAATAGTAAAAATAACAGGATGGTGGTAACTTTTTAACAAATTGGGTGAAAATGGGTCTGATCTTTTACAGACTGGCTATCTGCCTATAGCACATAGGAGAAATGCAGAATATGTTTCTCATTTTGAATCCTGACCTTGCTGTTGAGTGTATCATTGGGGATAGGGTAGGAGAGCTCTAAAATCAATATCAAGAGCATACATAGCTCACAGAACAGAGCCACTGGCCAATAGAAAAGTTTGAACAATATTATTCAGATATCCACAGGATTAATAAACCCTATAAAAGTCACTGCCATGTTTTCATATGTTCTGTTCTTGCTATAAAATATCATATCCAAAAAGTAGTGCTCCAAATGGGGTCAATCTGAAATTTTTAGTCTCCACTGCTTAATCGGCTGATGAACATTTATGATGACATTTTCTTCCTTGTTCTTTCAGTCACTGGGATACTTTGGGTACCACACATTTCAAGTTGAATGTAACAGATTTATCGCTAACAGCCTACCCTGCAGGCAATATTTCCCATAAACTCTCCCAGGGGGCTAAAGAAACCCTGCAGCAACTGAAAAAAGATACCAGCACAGAGTCCTCAGGCTGGCTACTTGTGCGCTGACTGCAGTCGGTTCAGCAGCCACTCACTGGGTTGTTCTCAAACTGTCAGAAGCAAACAACGGTGATCAATGTGGCAACAGTGACCACAGAGAAACACTCTGCACATAAATGCCAAGAGCAACTCTGCTTATGGTAAGAAAAACAATTTAGACCCTGGGGTCTTGGAATCCGTGGCTGTCCTATTAGCCACCTTCCCCAAGAGATGGGCTATTGTGCTATTTTCTATTCTGGCACAAAAGCACAGTTGGAGAAGATCCAAAGAGCCATTTGTTTCCTCCTTTAGCAAGAGCTGTCAGTCTTGTAGATGATCAATCAACTCTGAGGAAGGACAAGTAAAGACCTGTGATAAGTGACAGGTCTCCTGGCATCACACAGTTTTAGTAGATGCTCCAGGGCACTTGGGAGGTCACTTTCTCTGAGGTTTGCAATTATAAGGATTCCCCAGGATGAGTGGAGAAGAGAGGTCAGTTATGGAGGGCATATCAGCCTTGAGTAATGCTCACAGGAGCTCCACTAGGAAAACCATTTGCAGATTTATAGAAAGGAAAAATGTCCCAAATCTGGCTCAGGATGGTGACCTGCAATATAGTGATACAGAAATCATGGTCATGTAGTGTCTATCTTTTATGCATTTCTGCCTCACTCTATTTGTATTGGGTTGGGAGACACAGGACATCTGGGTTAATGTGATGGGTACACAGTTAGAGAGCAGCTTTAAAGTGAATTCCAGGGAGATATTCCTGTTCAGAATCCAGCTTTCCTTAGGTGTAATTACCCGAGAGAGCCTGTTGTTGTTTCTTACTGCAAAGAACCAAATCAAGTGTGAACAAGTGAATTAAAGCTACATTCAGTTTGGGAGTGTATACACTCATCAATAGTTTGAGGATTTTGTTTTTGGGGGGGGAGCTAAAATCTTGTTAAAGATGGAAAATAGAGAAATATGTCTGCCACCAGCATCATCAGATGGGTAGTGTAAAAATGGGGAGTTGATTGCATGATCAAAGATTGGAAATGTTCTCAGTTAAAAACCATGTTTCCTTAGTCCTGGTCCCAGCTTCATTTTCATTTCCAGCTGGTTGATGTAGCACACTTAGTTGGAAGAACTCAACTTTTGCCTTTTTCCCCCCCTTCCCTGATCTTTGCTATAAACTCTGTTCAAGTCAAGGTTCAGATCCTTTGATTCAGCTTTAGCACACTGTAGATATTCTAAATCAAGATCTCCCTGGCTCCTCAGTCAACTGTTTCATTCCCTCTCTGATCCTCCCCCCTGAACTATTTTCCTTTCTCCCTTGCATCCTTTAGTTCTTCATATTGCTGCTAGTCTCCTTGAGCCATCTGGGTGCCACTCTCCAGGCACCATAGCTTTTCAACCTCTTATTAGGAACTCCTTTCAGGGTTCACAAATACATATTTTCAGGCTACACATACCTGCCTCTGGCCTGTGGGTTTCCAAATAACTTCAGTAACAACCTCTGAAATACCAAGAGCCTCTGTGAAGAAAGTTGTACTAGTCAACTCTCTTCAACATGCCAAAAATTGCTTTGTGATAAGAACAAATAGAAAGT